CACTGGCCTCATTCCCAGACATAGACCCAGCCCAGGACCCTCCTCCAGTGGCCTGATCCTCAAATCCAGGTTTGGAACAGTCACCAGACTGATCCCCAGCCTCAGCCCAGGATCCTCCACTGACCTGATTCCCAGTGCCAGCCCAGGACCTATCACTGGACTGGTCCTCTGGCTCTGGCCTGAGTCCTCCACTAGCCTGGCCTCCAGTTCCAGCCCAGGCTCCTCCTCTACTGATCTGATTCCTAGTGCAAGCACAGAACCATCCATTGGACTGGTCCTCAGACATCAGCCTGGATCCTTCACCAGCCTCGTCTCCAGCCTCAGATAAGTACTTTCCACTGGCCTGGTCCTCGGCCCTAGCCCAGGACCCTCCACTGGCCTGGTCCTCAGGCCCCAGCCTAGACCTTCCACTGGCCTTGTTCCCAGGTCTAGACCCAGCCCAGGACCCTCCTCCAGTGGCCTGATCCTCAAATCCAGGCTTGGAACAGTCACCAGCCTGATCCCCTGCCCTAAGCCAGGACCGTACATTGGCCTGATTCACTGTGACAGCCCAGGACCCACCCCTGGACTGGTCGTCTGGCCCCAGCCTAGGTCTTCCACCAGCCTGGCCACCAGACCCAGCCCAGGATCCTCCTCCACTGGCCTGACCCTCACATCTAGGCTTGGACCTACCCCCAGCCTGATCCTCAGCCCCAGCCCAGGATCTTTCATTAGGCTGAATCCCAGCCTCATTCCAGGACCTTCCACTGACCTGTTCCTCAGTCCCAGTCCAGGACCCTCCACTGGCCTGGTTTCCAGCCCCAATCCAGGATGCTCTAATGGCCTCTTTCCCAGCCCAGGACACACCACTGGCCTGGCCCGCAGCCCATGAGCCCCCACTGGTCTGGTTCTCAGTCCCAGTCCAGGACCCTCCAATGGCCTTATCCCCAGCCCCAGCCCAAGAATTCCTACTGACCTTTCTCCCAGTCCAGGATCCCTCACTGGCCTGACCTCCAGCCCAGGGCCCACCATTGGCCTGGTTCCCAGACTCAGTGACCCAGGACCCTTCACTGATCTGGTCCCCAGCTCCAGCCCAGGACCCAATACAAACCTCATTTCCAGCCCCAGCCTCAGCCCCAGCCCCAGCCCAGGACTTGATGCTGGTCTCATCACAAGTCGCAGCCCAGGACCTATTAATACCAGCCTCATTACTAGCCCCACTCCAGGACTCAATACTGACTTCATTCTCATCCCCAGCCCAGGACATGCTATTCTCCCAGTATCCATCCCTGGCCTGAAACCTAAATTTGACCCACCGCTCAGAAGCAATCCAATCCTCAATACCAATCCCATCCCAGTAATAGTGGTGGACCTTAGGCTGAGTCTTTCTGCGGGCCTGAATATCTTCCCCACCCTCACTCTCAAAAGTGGACATGGCCTCAGCCTTAAGATTTGCATAGAGCTCAACATTTGCTATGACTTCTGCATCAGACCTAGGCATAACCTTGTCCCTTGCACCAGGCAAGGGCTCAGCCCGGGAACTGGCCACAGTCTGAGGCTGGGCAGAATCTCTTGTATCTGCTCCAGCCTCTGCCTTAGTCACAGCATTGGGATTGCCGCTGACTTTATTCCTGGCACCAGTCAATGCTCCAATCTGGGAACTGACCACAGTTCGAGGTTGGACAGAGTCCCTTGTATCTGCCCCAGCCTCTGCCTTAGATGTAGCATTGGGATTGCCCCTAACCTTATTCCTGGCACCAGGCAAGGCCTCCACTTGGGAAGTGGCCACAGTTTGAGGCTGGGCAGAGTCCCTTGTCTCTGCTCCAGACTCTGCCTTAGATGCAGCATTGCGATTACCCCTGGCTTTACTCCTACCACCAGGCAAGGCTTCAACCTGGGAACTGGCCACAGTCTGAGGCTGGGCAGAGTCCCTTGTGTCTGCCCCAGCCTCTGCCTTAGACACAGCATTGTGGTTGCCCCTGGCCTTA